TCTCCCTTGGTAAATAAAATCATCATTTAGAAACTGCATTTTCTATTTCCTTGGGTTGTCTCTGTGTCATACTAAAATTGGTTTGATGATCTGAAACCTTTGTGTGTGATACATATGCAAAAAACACAGAAATCAGGAAGGGGGCAAATACTTTATATATACACACAAGAACAAATACACTTACACACAGATACACAAACTAAACAGTTGAGAAAAGATTTGGCACTTTGTTAACCCTTTATATCATGCACCTTGTTAAATAGTTGTTTCCCAAATCCTAAATATTAGATCTATTTGTGGTACAAATGAAATGTTTATTGGTTTAAGTCCAGGATGTAGGAGGAAATACCAAAAATATCTGTGAATAGTTTCTCAGTTTTGAAGATTACTTGTATGAGTAAGAGAACCCTAAATGCTAAAATGATTATTTAGTTTCCAACCTGTTGTTCTGAACCTAAGTTTACTTTTTCTCCAAGTGGGGATAAAACATTCTTTTGTAAAGTGAAGGAAACTACGTGAAAGAATGATGGCCGTGGTGGCTGTTGGCCAAAATTCTGTTTTTTCTTTGGGTTTTTTTTTTTTTTTTGGGTGACAATTTTGTCCCACTTTGTAACTATTGGGTCTTTATAAGATGTGTAACGCAACAGAAAAATAGGAATGTTGGCTTAAATAAGAAATCAATATCCCATACCCCCTAAAATCAACTCGGCTGAGGTTTAATTCTTAAAGGCATTCTGGTTTAGACCCAAAGTGATGTTGGCCAGGCTTTGACAGGAGTGCTGGGCAGGGACCAGAAACATCATCTAGTATATCAGTCTTTTCTGTTTTCTTTTTTTTTTTTGACTCCACACTGGGGTCAGGTGAGGCTTTAAATACACACGTGGACAAAATTGTTGGTACCCCTCAGTTAAAGAAGGGAAAACCCACAATTCTCACTGAAATCACTTGAAACTTACAAAAGTAACAATAAATAAAAAAATATTGAAAATTAAACAATCAAAATCAGCCATCACTTTTGAATTGTTGATTAACATAATTATTTAAAAAAACAAACTAATGAAACAGGCCTGGACAAAAATGATGGTACCTCTATAAAAGATTGAAAACTATTTGACCAGAGTGACATGATTAACTCAGGTGTGTCCTTCAATTGACATCACAGGTGTTTCCAAACTCATAATCAGTCAGTCTGCCTATTTAAAGGTAGACAAGTAGTCACTCTGCTGTTTGGTGAAAAGGTGTGTACCACACTGAACATGGACAACAGAAAGCGAAGGAGAGAATTGTCCCAGGACATACGAAAAAAAATTATAGACAAACATCTTAAAGGTAAAGGCTATAAGACCATCTCTAAACAGCTTGAAGTTCCTGTGACAACAGTGCCTCATATTATTCAGAAGTTCAAGACCCATGGGACAGTAGCCAACCTCCCTGGACGTGGCCGCAAGAGGAAAATTGATGACAAATTGAAGAGACGGATCGTTCGAATTGTATCCAAAGAGCCCAGAACAACCTCCAAAGAAATTAAAGGTGAACTCCAAGGCCAAGGTACATCAGTGTCAGATCGCACCATTCGTCGTTGTTTGAGCCAAAGTGGACTTCATGGGAGACGACCAAGGAGGACACCACTGCTGAAAAAAAATCATAAAAAAGCGAGACTGGAATTTGCAAAAATGCATGTTGACAAGCCACAAAGCTTCTGGGAGGATGTCCTTTGGACAGATGAGACCAAACTGGAGCTTTTTGGTAAGGCACATCAACTCTATGTTCATAGACTCAAAAACCAAGCATACGAAGAAAAGAACACTGTCCCTACGGTGAAACATGGAGGAGGCTCAGGAATGTTTTGGGGCTGTTTTGCTGCATCTGGCACAGGGTGTCTTGAATGTGTGCAAGGTAAAATGAAATCTGAAGACTATCAAGGCATTCTGGAGAGAAATGTGCTGCCTAGTGTCAGAAAGCTTGGTCTCAGTCGCAGGTCATGGGTCTTCCAACAGGACAACGATCCAAAACACACAGCCAAAAACACCCAAGAATGGCTGAGAGAAAAGCGTTGGACTATTCTAAAGTGGCCTTCCATGAGCCCAGATCTGAATCCCATTGAACATCTGTGGAAGGAGCTGAAACATGCCATTTGGAGAAGACACCCATCAAACCTGAGACAACTGGAGCAGTTTGCTCATGAGGAGTGGGCCAAAATACCTGTTGACAGCTGCAGAATGCTCATTGACAAATACAGAAATCGTTTAATTGCAGTGATTGCCTCAAAAGGTTGTGCAACAAAATATTAAGTTATGGGTACCATCAATTTTGTCCAGCCCTATTTCATTAGTTTGGTTTTTTAAATAATTATGTTAATCAACAATTCAAAAGTAATGGCTAATTTTGATTATTTAATTTTCAATAAATTTTTATTTATTGTTACTTTTGTAAGTTTCAAGTGATTTCAGTGAGAATTGTGGGTTTTCCCTTCTTTAACTGAGGGGTACCAACAATTTTGTCCACGTGTGTATGTTGCCAGGAGAAATTGAAAATAACTAATCCCACGCCCCTTCATTGTTTTGCCATTTTCTTCATCCCGTTGTATTTTGCAGTATAATACATGTTTCTGAAATATCTCCTGAGGACCACAGTTGCTTCCAAAGTGAAGGATTTTCCCCTATTTTTTCCCCATGAAATTATCGCTTTTTAATCAATTTTCAACAAAGGTTTTTGTCTTGGTTTAAAGAAAAATCACTGCTCCATATAAACCTGTATGAAATATAAAATGTGCTCCACAACATGTGATTGTCTATTTTTTTTTTTAAAAAAGGAGGGCTGTCACTTTTTATCCAAAGTTTTAAAAACTTTTCCAGCTTTGATACACAAAGGTGGTCAGAGCTCTCATAGAGCCACTGTATGGCCAAAGAATCAGCAATCCACTAACCACAACAGCCTTGTCAAATCATGGTCAGCAACTTTGGTGAAATGTCAACCCTTATTGTTCAGTGCAGAACATTGTTATGATGCCTTTCTTTGCTGCTCTACTTTTGCTTTGCAGTCAATCATTACTCAGTGCCTGCACATTTGGAGCATTTCTTATATTTAACCAGTCATATCAACACATTGCTTTAGAAGATACATTAGCATAAACAACACAAAATAACTACATGCAACCACCAGGACTAGCATGTCATGTAAACTACAATTGAACTTGATTTTTGAAGAAAAAATGACTGCCTTTGTGCAGTTTAAAACGCAGGAGAATTTGCTAAAGCCCAAAAGTCCAACTTTCTGTAATGGCATATACAAACTACACAATAGCTACTCAGTCAATTATCTCTCTGCTTTTTCTTTTGTATTTTTTTCTTTTTTGTAAAATCTTACAAGACTTCTTAGAAGTTTGGTGCTCTGTCAAAACGGGTCAATGTCTACAAGATTTTAATTGGCTTTATGTTACAGAAAACTAGGGAGGAGGGACATTTTCTTTAATGGGAAAAGAAAATTAA